TCAAAGTAAGGGAATATATTCCAAATCCCATGCGCTGTAAAAAATTGCCACTTATTGGGACATACTGCTAAGCGGTGCAATAATGATGCAGCACGCGTTAACTGCAATTTGGCACCTCACTACCCAAAAGACTAATTTCGCACCCATTGTGTCAACTGTGCTGAAAAACATCCCGCGTCTTCCAAAGACTGCACCAAATTTATACAACAAAAGGAAATACTAAAAATCAAAACAACAAAAGTTGTCAATGCGAGAAGCAAGGCAAACTGGTTCTTTTATCCCATCTCAGACCTACGCTCTGCCCATAGCAAGCCCTAAACCACAACCACCAAAGACAATCTACTTTCCATAAACGCGCAAGCTATTAAAAACAAAAATACAAACCTTACAAAAAAAAACACACTAACCGCTACAACAATGCCTTCAGGAGATAAACCCACCACAATCACACCAAATTTGACCTTCCCAAGATCACAACTCTCGAATGTTACTACCAATAATGTACACAGTCTCCATACAGATCATTCATCTAAACTCACCACTGCGACCGAATCCACTTCTCCCATTCAATTACATTACTCTTCTAAGCCTCTCTTAAACTGGCTACCAGAAAACAATATTCAAAACAATAATTCCAATAATGTAGTTAACACATGTACTTCTTCAAGCGACAATACAGACCTAATACCAAGCAATCAAGACGAATACGACATAAAAGATGAAGAAATTTGAAATCTCTCTCTTAGTTAAAACCAAATAAACCACCTATTTTCTCTTCCGCTCAGTATGAAAATTCTACAGTGGAATATGAAAGGTTACACCAATAACTTCATCGAACTCCAACTACTAATAAAAGACTTAAATCCTGATATTATATGTATACAGGAAATACATTTTTCCTACAAAAACAATACTTTCCAACTCAAAGAAAAACACGATATTTTGAAAATCTACCTATAAATAAATCTGCCAAACAGGGCATTGTAGTACTCATAAGAAAACAAATCCCCCATAAAGTAATACCAATGAGTTCAACAATTGCTACAATTGGAATTGAAGTAACTTATGCATTTACGATCACAATCATCAACGCTTTCATCCCTCCCCACCAAAACGTTTCAACAACCGACTTGTGTTCGATTACCCACACCGTAGCCTTACCAGTTCTGCTCGTTGGAGCCTTTAATGCGCGGGGCCCATTATGGGGCTCTGACGTAGAAAACGAAAGGGATAACATAATTGAAGACTATATTTTATGTGAAGATCTCATTGTCTTAAACGATGGCTCTGCTACCCACTTCTCTACGCATAGATCTCTAACACACGTTGATATATCGGTATGTTCTTCTTCTGTAGCGCCAAAGCTCTCCCGGAATATCCTTGAGAACTTGCACGGAAGCGACCATTTTCCGATAACTATTGACATACAATTGTCCATCTCTCATAGCAAAGTTAGAGCTAGAATTAAGTTTAAAACCGATTTAACAAATTGGACATCATTTCAACACAACTGCACTGCTCTATCCGCACAATCTGAAAGGTCCAGTAATGTGAATAAAGAAGCTGCTAAGTTGCACAAAATTATTCGATCAGCAGCCAATATTTCCATTCCACAAACAAAACCTGGTTGTGTCAAAACCATTATACCCTCGTGGAATTCAAACCTCCACAAACTAAGAGAAGAGAAGCAATCGCTATGGCACAACTTCAAAAGAAATCGGTGCACAGAATCTTTAATCCTGTATAATAAACCCAAATCAAAATTCAAAAAAGCAGCATTAGAAGCTAAGAGTTCGTGTTTCGAAGATCTGACTCGAAAAATCAGCCCAAGATCTTCTACCAAAAAAATATGGGCCTATATCAAAACGCTTACAGGTAATAGCAACAGCAACCCAATTTCACTATTAAAAAATAGGTCAGAAAACATTACATTACCCTCTGAAATTGCGAGTTCTTTTGGTACTACATGGTCTGGTTTATCCGAAGATAGGAATTTTCATCAAGACTTCATCTTCTAAAAGCATAACTTCACCAATTATGAATATAATCCCAACAATGTTTCTTTTGCCGCTAAAAAAATAGACTCGAAGATAACAAATCCGAGCTTGAAAACTCGCTAAATGGGCTCAAGGGCAAAACTCCAGGTAATGACCGCAATAATTACTCCATGGTTTGCAATCTGCCTCCAACTTTAAAAGAGAGATTACTAATGCTATACAATGATATTTTGATAAAGGTGTGTACCCACAAAGCTAGCGTACTGCCCTGGTTATACCAATTCCTAAACCTAATAAATCTCCATCCGATATATCGGGATATAGACCTATTTCCCTTTTGCCATGTTTAGCAAAAATACATCCGAAAAGATAATAGCGAACAGATTCAGGTGGTACATCATGAGAAATAAACTTATTTGCTCGAATCAAGTTGCCTTTCAAAGAAAACAAAGCACAACTGATATTCTGTTGCACCTTCAACACTATGTGTCAAATGCTCTTTCATCCCGAAATCACGTTATAGTCTAAGAGCCAGTGAAGAGCAGACTGAATGTAATTTACCAAAGCTCAAAGCAGTCGAGCCTTAATACCTCCTCTACTTGGTAGGCAGACTAACTAAGCCCGGCAGCGGTCCATACACTGAAAATAAAATCTGCGTAAATATGACGAAAACTTGCGTAAATCTTACGAAATTTTTCGTCATTTTGAGCCACGAAAGTTTTCGTTGATTGTACAAAACCGTATGTACGAAACATACTACGAAAATATGAGGCATCAGATTTTTAGTACATTTTACGAATGTATTCGTACTATTTACTAAAGAATTTAGTACCATTTACTAAAAAATTTCGTGCTATTTCTTAGTTTTTTACGAAATTTTTGTAAAATGCACAGAAATAATTCGTATATTTAACGAAATTATTTTCGTAAAATCTGCGCTTGTTTCGTAGAATGTGCGATTTTGCTTTCATTCTCCACACTGTAAAAAACATATTACGAATTATAACACCACACTTTTATTTTGTTTTTATCGTTAATTTTAAGCATTTTTATTTAGCAAAACGTTTTGCGAAAACGTTTAACATTAATGATTAAAATATAATGAAAGTGTTGTGCTATAATTTAAGTCATGTTTTTTATAGTGTTAATAATAAAAGCAATCATACCTTCTGCGAAAGAAGAAGAAGAATTTTCTGACTACACTGTAGTTTAGAATTAATAAAAAAGGTTATATTACCTATAATAAAACTAAAGTCTTTTATTTATATGCATACGAATAGGTTCTATACTACATCTTTTTTATTGCTTAGACTTCATTCAATAAAGTATATTGATGCAAAGTGTTAAACTATGAGACTCAACAAAACTAAATATAATAAGATATAAAATATGAAATAATATAAAAAAATACTGGTTTTACTTTCTTAAACATTATAATATTTTTATGTAGAGGCACTTGACAGATTTGCAGATGCATTGATGTTTGTTTCCTTGACGACTATAAATTAAAGGAAAATTATAAGGCGTCTGAAAAGCAAGTTTCAGTGAAAAATCATACATGTACTTACTTTTAATTTCATTAAGTAGTACTCCTGGCTTAGGCTTGCCGTTGATAGATAACTGATGAACAGGGAACGGATTTTATGGAAATNAATTGCCTATTTATCAAGTCCCACATTGGAGCGCAAGGCGCAGCGTAGGCGATGTTAAAAACATTGTATGCTTAAAAGCGTAGTATATCCGCAGCTTTAATATTCGATGTTTTTTTATTTTGTATTGTTTTTTTTTTTTATCCAGAAAATCCCGTTTTAAAACGTTTAAAATTATATTATATGTCTCACAGCAGCCAACAAGTAATTCCGCAGTGACACGTGATACTTAAAAATATGATGAAATATTAAACTGCCGGTAATTGAGTATATTGTACGAAAATATTCGTATGTTGTACGAATTTAAAAAAACATGTTTCTGCATTAGTACTTTATAAGAAAGTATTAACTAAATTGAACTTATACAGAATTGTAGGTTTAGTAAATTTTAAAACCATACATAAATATTACGAATGCCTTCCTACAATATACAAAATTATTCGTACAGAGATTTGTTCAGTGCTTTACGAATGTGTTTCGAAAATAAACGTAAGA